AGAGCTAAGTCCCTATCGTGAGGTATGCTGCGTGCTGACAGCCTTTATTGTTTGCTTCTCGCGCTTTTGCCCATGCACCAGGTTATCCGGCGACTCCCATAGGTCTTGTGAATCAATATCACCTTTCACTGCATAATCTAGCCCACGCCAAGCTCGCGATGAAAGCCGTCCGCCGAGTGTGCCGGCCATTCCGGGCTCGAGCAACATTATAAGCTTCATGTGCTGCAATCTTGACCCAACACTGGATCGCGCAAGCCGTGAGAGACAGCGATTTTCCCCGTAAGCTACTTGTCCCCCGAACCATTGACTCGTCTCTCAACTTACCCTCCTTGACCACAGAAACCATTTGTAATGGGGTGTTGTGTTTCCTCCACGGAGGCAGAGGAGTCCTCTGTTAGTACTACAGAGAATTCATCTACCAGTACAGTCTATTCTTCCACTGATGCAGAGGTTTCTGTCACAGGAACGAACACCTCAGCTGAGGTAGAAGACAAATGTATCGAACAAGAAGAAATTGCCATCGACCACATGCGAAAATGGCTCTCCGTCTGCGACAGCCAACATGGGTGCAATACACCAGACAAGGATACAAATAGCAAATCACATGCCAGGGCACCCTCGTATCTCATCGACACCGAGAAGTACTGCATAGTCTCCGAGAATGCTGAGAAAAGTTATGTTGCGCTCAGCTACCCCTGGAACAAATCATCTATCCAGTTGCTTCAACGAAACCGAGAGGCTCTCCTGAAGCCATACGCATTGCTCACTCGCGAAAGATTGATAAGCACGGTGATTAGAGAAGCTATTAAGATGACGAAACTTCTCAAGCTTAGATATGTGTGGGTGGACCAACTTTGCATCATCCAAGACGAAGAGTCAGCAGAAAAGTATGAGGAGATATCCAGTATGGACCGTATTTATTCCGGTGCGGCAGTCACTTTAGTGGCATCAGAGCGACAGAAACTCTTTGAAGGCATCTTTAGAAACAGCGTGAGCAAAGAGATAGCCACGTCTGTGAGTTCATCCGAGATCGTGCAACCCGGCGTCGGCCGTCGCGAGCTGGATGACAAAGACATACTAAGCCACTACACTTCAATTTCCAAGTCTACATGGGCCAGAAGAGGCTGGACTTACCAGGAGTCGATTCTAAGCAAGCGGGTAATCTTCTTTCACGATGATTTAGTCTTCTGGCAATGCGGATGCGCGGTCTGGGACATGGATCATTTAACGCCAGACGAAGATACCTCGATTGCCGCTGCCAACATGGCCAAACGGACCCTCACAAGACGCTTTTGGACGCCATCGTATCTAGACTTTGGGTTGTATATGGATCTGATTTGCCCATACAACGGACGGGTATTTTCTCATGAAGAGGACGGTCTTTTGGCATGCACAGGCATTCTAAACCAACTTGCTCCGGCTTTTCCGGGCGGGTTTGTGTATGGGCTACCTGTGGCACTCTTGGACTATGCGCTTCTCTGGCAGCCACTGAAAGGTTGCCGTAGAAGAATCAGTTCTTCTAGCAAGAAGCCTTCCCTTCCGTCGTGGGCATGGTGCGGGTGGCAGTGTCTTGTGGATCCATGGAGCTTCCAACCCAGCTTTTGCCTCGATGAAAGCGATACTATCAGAATACCTAAGGCTGGTTCCTGGAAGCTGAAGAATCTCGTCAGGTGGAAGGCTAGCAACATGGCACAAGAACATGTCTCGGTTGACAAGACCTTGCCCCTTCCAGATATACCAGAGAGTGTCTTATTCCTGAAGGAAGCTTCTACATCATCTTACAACAATGGCAACACGGACGATCCTGGCGACGATAATACGACCCAGCGCAGAGTATTTGGAGATAGTATGCCTCTGAGGGATGAGCCAGCCCTCTTATCATGCGATACAGAACTGGCAGTCTTTGCACCTGCAGCAGCCCTAGAAATATTCTTGGTGAAACCCAGAAACATTAGGTGCAGCATGCATGTGTTTTGGGACCCAGCAATGAACGAACGAAGATTGCACCAATCATCAAAGGTTGTTGTTCTTCAGGATCAGAAAGGGGTTTTTGCGGGACTTATTCGCGTCACAGAAAATCTCAACTGTGCACGGTTCGGATGGACCAGCCGATCTTCGAAAGGTATGAAGATTGAGTGCGGGAATGATTTGGGGATAGAGATGATCGCAATCTCGGAGGGAACTGCGACATGGGGAGACATCAGAATGTGCTTCGAGGAAAAGGTGTTCCAGAGAAGTCCATACTACAGCGGGGGACGCTTCAAAGCTGAGTACGATATTGACGGATGGTGGACTGGCTCTTCACAACGTGGCCCGGACGACTTTGGTTATCAAGTTTTGCCTGCTGGGGAGTGGAACAAGAATCTTATACTTCCAGAGGAGGCTGCGAGTGACGATAAAGTCGTGGAGTTCTATAACGTTCTTTGGGTTCGGAAGAGTGATGACCAGATTTCACGGAGGTTGGGTTGTGGAAGAGTCTTGAAGGATCGTTGGAGACAGAATGAGCCGCGGACTGTTAGCGTTACATTGGGATAGTCCATAATTTGCGTCCATGGCTAGGTAAGCTGATCTTAAACCTAGATTAGACATATTCCAGACAATAGCCAATCGTCTTTCATGGCTTCGTCGTTCATGAACCCGTCCAAGAGCTATATTTCAGACGTTAGCAATGCGCTATTTGGCTGTTCTAGGAATTCCGAATGCGTTACCATTCGCCCACTAACTCAAAGTGGTTTTCAATTCTTGTCAAACTTGCCTGTAGCTTTTCGCGGACAGCAAGAAGAACTCTGCTACCTAGGAGCCCCTCTACCAAATCACCGACTTGGACCGGAATGTCCGCCAAACCGAATCGCCTTTCTCCAGTCAAGAAGAAAGATCGTCCGCAAAGCGTGCTGTACAATGCGTCGTTGTATAAATTCGCATCTCCACGCAACTCGCTTGAAGGCTGGTTCGTCATGTGTTCGTACCAGGCGTGCCAAAGATTATCAGCGTCAGACGGGCCCAGAACTGTTGACTTTTGAGACGGCCCTTTCTTCCTTATTGGAGATCCGACGAGCGTCGCGCGGAAGGAGTCCAGCGAAGTACGGGGTTTCTCTTCGGCCCCAGAGTTGGCCTCAAGCGCCTCAATCGATGGCTTCAAGACAGCGGGAGACAATGGCGTTGTCGTGGGAAATCTCGTGATCAAATGTCTTCAGGCATTGAACCATGTCCAGGAGTTTCCCCTTTGGGTACAGCTTATTACCCTCAAATCGAGGAGAGATCATGTCGCTGGCCCCCCGCATTGTGTCCATTTGGCCACAAAAGTATTCTCCGCCCCCGCATGACGGTCCGGTCAGGACAGCGTATTGGCAAACCAGGAATGTCTTGGATGGTTCGATTGTGATGACAGAGAATCTGAAGAGTATCGGAAGTTTCGAACGAGGCGCGCACCACGTCTCTATAAAGTTCTTCCACTGTTCTGTTGTATGGCTTCAAAGCAGCGTCTTCGCCTGTCAGGCGAAAACGACTGCAAAAAACATTTGAAGCCACGGAACCGGTACAGCATATTTGCCGGATCTCGCATTCGTTCGTCCAACCCATGTTTTTGATACGCCCTTCTGACAGTCCATAGATGACTAATGGGTGTTGAAGCTATGTGCCGGACGAAGTACTGTAGCGGCTTGGGCACGATGGCGTTGAATCTGTAGTCGACCAGGATTTCAAGTGCACTTCCAAAAATGCTTTCAGGAATCTCAACTGTCCCGCAGATGAAGACAACCTCTCCATGCACAGCCAATTCCTGGACGATCCATGCTCTGTTCCACCAGGGCCGCTTCATAAGTTCGTCCAAAGCTTTCCACGAGGCTGCTTCAGACTTTTCTTGAAGAAGTGATGTGATTGCTCGATAATCTTTCGGCGAAACATCTGCTGTTAGCCTTCTGAGCAGGCCAGCTATGCTTGTCGTGCCTCTCGCCTCCCTTCCGAGGAAAACTACTACCCTCGAAGAATATTTGTAGATGGCCCACATTCTTTGAACCTGGATGTTGACCTCCGAAATATTCTTCTGATTGATGCAAATCGAATCCGTCCACAACACTCGGTCTTTGTCAGACAGTCGAAGACAATGCAGTGCACTTTTGAGGTTTGCTGTCACGCTGAAAGGCCGATCGTCAAGGTAGATCTGAGTCCTGTCGTTTGGATCACCCCAAGTGTACGACAGTGCCTTGTAATTCCCATTGCACTGACCCAACGTGGACTCACTCAGAGTACAGCGAGCGTCGTCAGTATTACATCCAGCCAGCAAAGTGACGCATCGGAGAGCCCAGCGGTATTCTTCTGGTCCGGAAGCCAGATTCAAGTCATCGGCTAAGTCGTGGTATGACAATGAGCTACTATCCGACAAAAGCTGGTTCGCCTCGCCCACTTACGGAAATCAGGGCTGATTACGATAATCTAACACATAGAATCTCACCGCTTTTGGATAGCGAGCTTATGGGACATGGCGGGGTTCCTATGACGCAATGGGACTTAGTGTTGAAACGACGAGACCGCCTGTTTTTCCTGGAGCTTTGCGGCTATTCTTCCTGTGTATCCGATGCCCCTCTTTAGTTCAATTGAGGGTATTGATAATAACGACTATAACAATAATAGAAACACCGATAGTAATAATAATAAGGCCAAAGATAGTCGCAACGACGACAATAATCATAAGAATAATAATGACGACGATAACGACGACGACGAAGACAACGATATTGAAGATAATAACGACGATAGCAAGCATATAGGAAAAGGACGGCAAAAACAGGCCTTTTCGGAATGACATTGAAAAGCAGGTACACTAGCTAGTTAGCGACTATTAATTATTATGCATTGAAAGTGGATTCGGCAGCTTCCTGAATACACTTTGGATTGAATGTTTGAAACCTCAATTGTAGTAACATAAATATTATGTTTTAAACCTAATGATGCTGTAGATACATTCGGCGCATTGAGCTTTGAATGATAGACTTTAGTGCATCCTAATTCTGGCTGCCTAGCGGATTGGAGGCTTAGAGACGATATCTGAAGTTTGGATTTCGATCTCCGGTCCTCTTTTCTCGATGGTCTTCCGTCTCACCAGATAAAATCACTTTCTTCTCCTTTTCCAGTTTTCTCAGGTAGAACCAATGAATCATAACCAGACACTCCGCAACAAAGATGGCGCCCAGAGAGAAGCTATTGCCGAGCAAGTATGGGGAGCTCCTGTATATCTGTCCCGCAACCGCTCCGGCCGAGTTTCCGATAGTCTGCTGGATGCCGATGGCAGTGGCTCGTCGATCTTGACACTTTCCGCCAGCTAACCGAACTAAGGATTGATGTGGAATGCTTACACTGCGGGGCCATATTGACATTGAGCCAGGCAAGGTTGAGGCCAGTTCCATTGTAAACAGCAATAGTGCATACGAAGCAGGCGAAGTACTTCACGGCGTTATTACTGACACCGATAAGAATCGCGTAGCCGACGGCACCCAGGATGTTCGTGCCGAACAAAAACTGAGTCCATCGATCAGCATGATTCCAAGTAAGAGTTGACACGAACCATGTAACTCACGAAACCGCATTTCCCATACTTGTCAGATATGAAAGCGAAGGCGAAGAAGGCCAAAGCTCCTAGACAGTAGACTGGAATAGTCAAGTAATTCGCCGCCAGTGTGCCATGTCCCATGGCTCGCAGGATTGAGGGCAAATATGTTCCAAAGCCATTGGTGAGAATGTTTTGGCAGAACTGGGTCCAAGCACTAAATTCTTGTCAGTACCGACGTGAACAGCCCCAGGCACTCGAAGTTTACATACGATAGCCAAGTCTTTGCGTCCAAGAACGCAAGTTTGATCTCCTGCCAATCAAGCTCCTCGCTTCCCATGTAGTCCAAACGCTCCTGATGACGAACTTCCATTAGTTGACGTTCGTTTTCATTGAGAAAATACGCCTTTCGTATGTCACTGGGAAGACCAAACCACACTGCAAACGCGCAAAGAATGCTGAAAGCTCCTTCGACGATGTAAACCCATCTCCAGCCTGCATACCCTCCAACGCCATCCATTTGTAGCAAGCCATAGGCAAGGAGCCCACTAAAAGCGCCAGATAGTGCCGTGCATGAGACAAGATAAGATGTGCGCTTCGCTAGCTCGTCTTGTTTGTAAACCATCGTAAGGTACATGTTGAGGGAAAGAAACAAGCCTCCTTCGCAGGCCCCGAGGACGAGCCGACAGGCGTATAGTCCACCAATGTTCTTTATCAGGCCATTAGCAATTTTGGTGACCGACCAGACGATACAAAGGATGGTCAAGACGAATCTTGGTTCGAAGCGCTTGACGAGGATGACAGCGGGGACCTCAACCGGGACGTAGATGACGAAGAAGAGGGATACGGCAGTCGAAAATTGTTGCTCTGTTGCGCCAATGTCATCAAGAAGACCTGCAACTTTTACATTGCCTGCGAGGAGGTAAGTGAGATTACATACAATGAATGACACTGATGCATGTCTGTACGTACCAATGTTTGATCTGTCAATGAAGCATGAAAGATAGACAACAAACAAAATAGGGGTAATCGCAAGATCGATCTTCTTTACAACTTTCGCCTCCTCAACTCGGTCGATCTGAAAGGGAGAGGAGCCTGCGTTGTGCTCAGTAACATCTTGCGTGTTGGCCGACTTCATATTGCTTTCATCCTCCAAAGGCATATCTTGGTCCGATTTCGACATGCCTCAAAATGTCAATGATAGCTAGTTGTTTCATGAATAGAGAGTTGGGAATGATGGAAAAAGAAACCTAAGTTACACGACAGTCTGTCCAGAAGTTATTGTTTTCCAACGCTCAATCCTAAGATGGTGATTCAATCCCGTAACAATCATCTTCATCCTCAATTTCGGAGACCAAAGGTGCATTGACATCTTCGCATCGCGTTCCCGAGCCGCCAAGGAGAAAGTTACCTCATGACGATCTCACACGAAAATGATGTGGAGAATGTTGATTGAAGAGATGAACGATCTGATAAGCTCGATGGTTTGTGGAAGACATTCCCAACGCCTTTCGCACCTGTTGCGATAACCGGCCAGCTTACCGAGACGGTTGGTTGTAACCGAAAATACCGAGTATTCTTGCCCGAGATGAGGGGATCTTGATGCTACGTCTCGGGGCTTATCTCAGCTGCTTCGGGTTGGTTTCCCGCTTCTCAGCCCCAACTTGCTGGACTCAGTCTTTTTGCTCGTATCTGATCTCCCTATATCGGAACACAGTGCATCGGGGCCGGGCTCCGAGAGCGAACTCGGCCATTGTGGGGCCCTCCGGCGGTCGGTTTGCCAACGCCGACACGTGCAATACAGGCACCAAGGTGTATGGTGATGAGGTCCACTAAATTGAACGTTTGCTTCAAAGAAATTGAGAATACCTCACCGTTTTGCACGTCAAGATGGGTTCACTTGGATACAGTCAAAGGAAAATCCGAATTGCGATCGGTAAGTTTCCCAGATGGGCTGCTGTAATGTAAGAAAATGGGCGCTGACCCATCTCTTAAGATCGCGGCGGTACGTTTACAGATGTACATGCCTACATTCCCGGCTCTTCTGAGCCAGAGATGGTCTTCAAGCTGTTATCGGTCGACCCACGTAATTACAATGACGCTGCGACATAAGGAATTCGTCGTGTACTAGCACACTTCAGAGGAAAGTCACTCCCTCGAGACGAGCCGTTGGATATCATAGACGTCGAGTCAATTCGAATGGGCACGACTATTGCGACGAATGCACTGCTCGAACGCAAAGGTGAGCGAGTCGCGTTCCTGACTACGAAGGGGTTTCGCGACCTGCTTGTCATTGGCAACCAAGCGAGACCTCACATTTTTGACTTGAGCATACACAAGCTTCAGAATCTGTACGACACCGTGGTCGAAATTGATGAGCGTATCACGATGGAAGAGTTTCTCGAGAATCCCGAAAAGGAACCCATAGACATCAACGGCGATGATGCCCTGGTCAAAGGCTTGACAGGCGAACCAGTCAAAATCTTGAAGAGACCCGATATTGAAGTCATCAGAGAGCAACTGAGACATCTTCAAACCGAAGGATTCAACAGCTTAGCCATATGTTTCATTCATTCCTACCTTTACCCCAACCACGAGGACCAAGTTGCCGAACTTGCTCGGTCTATGGGCTTCGAGGTCTCCGTTTCATCGGAGCTTCAGCCTACGGTGAGCCTATCCCCAGCTGTATTCTGAAGACAAAAAAAAGCTGATTCACATCAGATAAAAATGGTTTCTAGAGGAAACTCTGCGACTGCTGATGCATATCTTTCGCCTCTGATCCGGCGTTATGTCGAGAACTTCGGCAGCGGCTTCAAGGGCGGACTGGACGCCGTAGCTGGCAAGCTGTTTTTCATGCAAAGCGATGGTGGTCTGTGCCTGTGGCAGAAGTTTTCTGGTCTGCGAGCTCTTCTTTCTGGCCCTGCAGGAGGGGTGATTGGCTTTGCGCGCTCGTGCTACGGCCCTGACGACAAGATGCCTGTCATCGGCTTCGATATGGGAGGAACTTCGACAGACGTCAGTCGCTTCTCGGGTACATACGACCATGTCTTCGAGACCGAGTTTGCATAGGTAACCCTGCAGACTCCGCAGCTCGACATCAACACTGTGGCTGCCGGTGGAGGGTCGATCTTGCATTGAAAGAACGGTCTGTTCGCGATTGGTCCGGATGTGAGTAACCCAATCCTTACTTCAAAGATGAGATAACTGACAAGTCACAGTCTGCTGGAGCGCATCCTGGGCCTGTATGTTACCGAAAAGGTGGTCCCCTTACAGTCACCGATGCCAACCTATTCCTGGGACGACTTCGCCCCGAATACTTCCCGACAATCTTTGGCCCTGAAGAGAATGAGCCTCTTGACTATGATGCGGCAGCATATGCTTTCAAGAGTTTGACCGGCAAAATCAACGCGGAGGAGGGAAAGTCATTCACCCCCGAGGAAGTCGCGAGTGGCTTCCTGCGCGTGGCGAATGAGAGCATGAGCAGGCCGATTCGATCATTAACCGAGGGAAGAGGCATACGGACCTCAGAACATGCCTTGGCCACCTTCGGTGGGGCTGGAGGCCAGCATGCCTGTGATGTTGCCGAGGCACTAGGCATCCAGCGGGTTGTGATCCATCGGTACTCTTCGATCCTCTCAGCATATGGAATGGCATTGGCGGACTTGACGCATGAGATACAACGGCCTCGTGCAGCACGGCTGTCAGAGATGAAGGAGGCACAGTTTGCCAGCGAGTTTGGGTCCCTGACTGCAGAAGCTGGCGAGACACTCACCGCCCAAGGCTTCACAGACAAACAGATCGAGTATGAGCTGTACCTCAACCTCCGGTATCAAGGCACAAACAGTTCTCTCATGACCCAGAAGCCTATCGACTCTTGGGACTTTTCCCGGAAGTTTATTGAACAGCACGAGGAAGAGTTTGGATTTGTGCTCGACCGCGAGATCCTTGTCGAGGATATCCGAGTCCGCGCCCTTGGCAAGACTGCAGGAACGGAAAACATGAGTGTTTCTTCTGCACTCAAAGCCGTTGACATCAGGCTCGCGCCACCGACGAAGAGTGCGAAGACCACGAGGGTCTACAGTCAGAACCGGTGGCATGAGGTGAAACTGTTCAAGCTGGAAGATCTTACGGCGGGGGACAAGGTGCCGGGTCCTTCGATCATTCTCGATCAAACGCAGACTATCCTCATACAGCCAGGATGGGCAGCTACCGTGCTTCTGAGGCATCTTTTGCTAGATCGGGAAGAGATGCCCCTAAAGGACACGGCCTTGGAGGATCCTGATGTCGTGGATCCCATTCAGCTCTCCGTTTTTGGTCACCGGTTCATGAGCATAGCGGAGCAAATGGGGCGTTCGCTCCAACTCACGTCGGTTTCTATCAACATCAAAGAGCGCCTTGACTACTCGTGCGCAATCTTTTCCCCTCAAGGTGGCCTTGTCGCGAACGCACCGCACATTCCGTGCCACCTCGGCGCGATGAGCTATGCCGTGGCCTACCAAGCCGAAAGATGGGGCAACACCCTTCGCCCTGGCGACGTCCTGGTTTCGAACCATCCTGCCGCTGGCGGTTCACATCTTCCCGATGTCACAGTCATTTCTCCTGTGATTGACGAACACACCAACGAAGTTCTTTTCTGGACAGCGTCGAGAGCCCATCACGCGGATATTGGCGGTATTGCGGCAGGATCTATGCCGCCACACTCTAAGGAAATCTGGCAGGAAGGGGCGTCTTTTACCTCGTTCAAGCTTGTCAATAACGGCAAGTTCGATGAGGTGGGGCTGGCGGAGATCATGTTGAAGAAGCCTGCCTCCTACCCTGGCTCTTCCGGGACGAGAACATGGAGTGACAACGTTAGCGATTTGAAGGCTCAGATTGCCGCGAACCAGAAGGGCATTCGATTGATCCACGAGTCAATCAAGGAGTACGGTCTTTTTACGGTACAAGTAAGTTCAATTAGCAACTATGTTCTAGACGGAGTCTGAAGATTAACGAGCGTTCAGAAATACATGCTTGGGATCCAAGACAACGCTGAGAAGGTCGTGAGAAATCTTCTACGACAGGTTCATGACCAGTTTAGCGGTCTACCGCTGGAAGCAGAAGATCAGATGGACGATGGATCGAAGTTGGTGCTGAAGATACACATCAACCGTGATGAGGGGTCCGCCAAATTTGATTTCACCGGTACCAGTCGAGAGGTGTATGGCAACCTCAATGCCCCACGAGCCATCACCTTCAGTGCAGTCATCTATGTCCTGAGGTCACTCGTGAAAGAAGACATCCCTCTCAATCAGGGATGTCTTGCACCAATCAATGTGGTTCTTCCAGCAGGCACTATTCTCTCGCCCTCTCTAGGGGCAGCAACTGTGGGAGGCAACGTCGAGACATCGCAGAGAGTTACAGATCTTGTCCTCAGGGCGTTCCAGGCGGCCGCGGCCAGCCAGGGAACGTGCAATAACCTGACATTTGGGTACGGGGGTGAAGTCATTGAAGGCAAGGCGAGACCAGGTTTCGGTTATTACGAGGTGCGTTGGTTGAAGCTTTGCCACCGAACAGTTCTCTGACCATTTTCTAGACAATCGCAGGCGGCGCTGGCGCGGGTCCGACGTGGGCTGGCCAGTCCGGTGTTCACGTTCACATGACCAATACTCGAATCACGGATCCCGAGTCTCTTGAGCGACGCTATCCTTGTATCTTGCACGAATTCGGTATTCGGAGAGGCTCCGGCGGCCAAGGCAAGTTTGCGGGTGGAGATGGCTGCATCCGTCATATCGAGTTCCGCCGCGATGTGCAAGTCAGCGTTCTTAGTGAGCGACGTTCTGTGCCTCCTTTTGGGCTATGCGGAGGGGAGCCAGGTACCCCTGGCGAGAACCTTTGGATCAGGAAGGATGAGTATGGGCTCCGAGACTTCAACCTGGGAGGCAAGAACACATGTCAGATGAGCAAGGGTGACCATATCATCATAAGTAAGTACAATCATGTTCCCAATCTTTTCATGTGCGAAACTGACTCAATGAACTCAGAGAGTCCGGGTGGAGGAGCTTACGGAAAGTCGGTATAAACTCAGGACTAGGGGGTAGTTAGCAATAACTGTTAAAGAGATTGCCTGATTTTCATGTGTCTTTGCGACTACATCTTCTGTACTAAGTGACCGCGATTGACCGCCATGGTATGACCTGAAACAATAGAGGCAACGACGATGACAGACGACGAGAATAATAATAACAATAATAACGACAATAACAGCGACGACGATGACGACGACGACGACGACGGCAATAGCAATAACGATAGGTATGCTTAGTAGTTATACATAGTAGATGGACACACAGGAAAATTAGTCGCTCGAACGTAGTAGAAATAGGCTGTATCTTGCTAAAGAAACTACGCTTTGCTTAGCGATAGATAAGTAGACTAGCTATACATTTATTATATTTATAAGCCTTTTTCATAAGAAACTCACACTAAACCTTAGGCAAACCCATTATCTCATATATAGTAATGTCCTTAATCTGAGGCCACAGGTTCGTCAAGTTCCGTTCTGAAGCTGAGATACCCAACACCCTCCATGGTGTGACCATTTTGCGACATTCTAAGGTGCCAGTCCTCAACTTCGCCCCATATTAAAAACCCGAGAGCTATGTTCCCTCGAGAGCCAAAGAAGCCATTCGACTATCCTGATATCAAAATGAATTTCCTCAGCTTCATTAGTCACCGCACACACAGCCATTTCACTCTACCCAACGCTCCCCAACCACCCAGGACCGCCGTCAACCCCGTGAACAAAATGATGCCCCCATATTCACCACTGTACCCCGGGTTCTTGCTATCCCTCGCCCATCTGCTGCCAGTCAATAACGCCACACTCAACGGCCCACTTATCACATTTCCAATACCTCTCCCACCAGCTAATAGCCCAAAGATGAACCCCGTATCCACTGCTGGGCTCTGATCCTTCAGCTCCGAAAGCACACCCGACCATGTGGAGCTAAACCCACCAGCGAAGAAGCCGTAAGTTATGCTGAACACGGCAAGTAACGCCGTCTGGCTCGAGAAGCCCCAAAACAGAAATACCGCCAGCGCGGACCCGATGGTCTATATGAGAATCACCGTCGTTACGCGCAGGTGGTCTCCAAGGCTGCCCATGACGATGCCACCTGGGATGGAGGTGACGTTGATCAAGACGAGAAGAGTAGTGGCGATAGTAGTGGAAACGTGAAGTTGCTGGACGGCGTAGGTGCTGAGGTAAGTGTATGGGAGGAAGTACCCGAGGGACTGGAGGATGTTTCCGATTTGCAGCATCCAGAAGGAGGGGAGGTGGATGAAGCTGAGACTAATTCGGCGGACACCAGTCGATTGAGAGAGAGGGATTCGAGGTTTGAGGAAGTAGATGATAGGGGCTGATAGAAGAACCTTTTGAAATGTGAGTAAAGCATGGGAGTCATTGAGGCTGAGAAATGGCGCATACCGTGACAACACTCCATGCGCGAAGTGTGGGTACAGGCCCGAACCGTTGCAACAGCGCTTCCATGGCGAACGGAATTCCTACCCCAGCCGCAGACTTTCCAGCCCACATAACGCCATAAGCCAGTCCCTTCCGCTTGATGAACAATTCGTCGAGGTACAGGGTTGTCGGCGTGAACATGAGTCCGCAGCCGAGAGCGCAGATCACTCCTTGCGTTGCGATCAGTTGCCAAGCCTTCGTTGCGAACGAGGACATGAGGAAGCCAGTTGTTGTGAGGATCAGCCCAATGGGGCCGAACCAGGGGCGTAGACGAGGCCATCTACTGAGGACTGTGAATGTGAAGGGCGATATGAGATACATGATACCCTTCGCAAATCCGTACATGTTGGGGCGCCTGCTTCTTGGGCTTGACGTACCGTCATTGTGGTGCCAATCACGGCGATGCTGCTGGTGTCGCCTTCAAATGAATTGGGGTGGCTGCCGTAGTATTCTTGGAACACGCCATAGGCGAGAGAATAGCCTGGGAAACCGTTAGCCGCTGTACCTGAGCGATGCCCAAAGAGCAACTCACCCCATACGGGAAGTTGAATCAGTGAACATCCAGCCAAGACGAGCCATGCTTGTTTTCCCCTGTCAGCGGGAGGCAATGGCGATTGTTCGATTTCAACTGCAGTTTCTTGGCGTTCCATGGTGATGGCAGGCGAAGATTCGCGATCTCGGCGACTCATTCTGTCAAGCTCGAAGCTTTGATGTTGAGACGTCATGTTTGATATTTGCTGGCCGATTGCATGCGCAGCCAGAAGAAATATATTTGTGTTATGAGAAGAAGTCAAGTGCACCGGAGAGGAAAATCCACGTTGAGAATGGAATCCCTCGAGAGGAGATGATCTGCTAAGACATCGAGATTGATTGGCTCGGTGTCGTTGGTAACGCGCCGCTAAAGCCCCGAAGTCGGGGAAAGCATCACGTGCCTCGCGAGGGAGAATTAAAAGTGATGTTTGCATCTCAACCACTAAGACTTCATGAAATGATTGGGAATAATGTGAACGTCGTAATCACCGTCCAGTGTCCTACATCTAAACCTGTCGTCCGGAGGTCTTCCCCCTGTGGACAGCAGAAGTACACAGCTTAATACGAATTAGATATCGATATAATGCAAGTGAGTCTTGCCATCCGGGCGGATACTTTGGCAAACCGGACGGATAACTGTTATACTAGGTCTAATAGTTATTTTATAATTATTGTTATTCTAATTATCCCTATCGTCCTTGTTGTTCTTGTCATCCTTGTTATCTTTGTTATCCTTATCGTCCTTGTCGTTCCTGTTCCTATAGTTGTCGCTATTATCTTTGTTATTGTCCCTGTCATGGTTAATGCTTACTACCCGCCCGAATAGCCAGGAATATCCGCCCGGATAGCAAAACGCATACAATTATCTTCAATCAGAACTTCATGCTGATTATCAATGTGTGCGAAAATTATGGTATCCTAACTCATTACCTAAAAACCCGAATTCAGCTGTAATGTTCGAGGTTCGACTGCTTATGCCTAATGGTACCCCCTCCCGCTGGATAGGTCGCGTATGCTTGCCCCATTTCCATTCTGACGACGTGGTACGCCAGCCGCAAAGCACCCTCTAATTGTCGACCGAACGGTAATCCGAGAACGAATATGGTGAAAAAAGCGCTTGAAGTGGTCCAGCTGAAGCAGAACCATATCAGCCACCTGGCTGTAGAAAGAACCCAATGAAGCAGGATTGCTGTAGGAGACGTTTGATATTGAGCCATTCTATGTTTCTCATCATCTGCAGGTTGTGTTTTGAATTTGAGGTTTGCCATCTCGAAAATCGCAACCGCCGGGTTTGGGCCTGAGCCGTGTGATTTGCTGATTATCAACAAATGCAAGGAACTTTCAGATCTATCTTGAGAAGCCTTCAGTCAGAAAGGGCTTCGGGATGAATAAAATTTTGGAAGACGCACCGATCGAGGGACAGCTTTGTGAAGCCGTGATACGTAACTTGGACGATGTTTGTCGTCACTTATCACCTTGTAATCTGGTGATGTCAAGAGGACGAGAAAGCCAGCGACCGATGCGTTGAGAGGAGAGCTAGTTTTTGCATGCACATCATTTCGATTTCGCAAGAAAGCACACGGACATCCCTTGCTTATGAGTCCCATCGTTTGAGCGAAGCGCCCAAGTTCTCCCCAAAGAGAACCAACAGGCGGCTGTGGCTTATGATCACGAAAATGGTCAAAGACAGGGGGTGACTAGCACACCAACACAGGTGACGCGCACCATCTGGCCCTACAACGGCCGGAATTATCTGCTCCAGGGTGGCACAGCATGCAGAACGCGTCTCACAGGTTTATTCCGGGCCTCGGATTAAATCGTTGGTGTGCGATTGTGTCACGTTGGGACAAGGCGGATGACATTGTTTTTGTGGGCATGGGGGAGCACATGTTGCTGTTGGCGCCCCCGAGACGTCCACGTTTGCGAGGTGGCTCATGATTGGGTGGCGAGATGAGCCTTCGCTGGCGCGTAGGGCAACTTGGTTGGTTGGACATGCGTGTCTGCATATTCCTTGGCATTTAGGCGAATGTTCGAGGCGACCAACGCTACTTGCAAACGGCATCAATCCTTCTGGGCGATGTTGATCTAAGAAGTGTGATCAGTTCGCGACATGTTCGTGTGCCCCTGGACTAAGATCTCGGGCCGAAGCGTCTTCTCTAGATTGCTAGGCTAGAGGGATATCAAATTCATAATTGAACACAAACACGCATGCATATTGCAAGTTGGAGACAGTTCTAAACATCGCCGGCTTGTCATCATTGTTATTCGACGAGCGTCGCCAGCACAAATGCTGAAGTGTCGGCGTGGGGTTTGAAACGTCAGCGCCCCACCGTAGAAGGCTTGTCGTCTGGGTGCATGATTTGACAGATGTCAGTCGTTATTCAGGCTGGTGGTGTGCGTTTCTGGCAGCACTGAGATGAGATGACGGTCGCGGTACAGCCAGGGATGAACAAGGCTGAGGAATGGATGTACAGCCCTGAGTTCGCCGTAAGGTAGGTACGCATGGAAGACAATTGCACCTGAAACGATGCTGCCGAAAGAAACTCGCGGGGCAGTAACGGTCCCGTATCCACTGAGGCGGGCAGGTGGGGCAGGCGGTGAAAGATGAACCCCTAAAACCTTCCTTATCGGCACCTCCCGACGCAGCTTATCGCTTGACGCTAAACCAAGACTAGACCAGTTTCGTCACTTCCCTGTCGTCACTGGGAAAATTTCCCCCCTTCACATCAACAACAACCACGGTCTAGATTCCCGCGCCGTGAGAAAACAACATCCCCACGACTCCAATCTTCCACCAGAACAAACCACATCAAGATGGATCGCGGAAGAAACAACGCTGGCCGTCGTCATCCTAGACGTGACAACCGCCGTGGAGGTGGCGGCAGTCATGACAACCCCAGATCGGGCGGTGGTGGCGGCGGTCGTCGCCAGCAGCACCACCGGGACCAGGACCAAGACGAGGACCAGCGCGAGCAGAGAGCTCAGCCCGGCCCATCTTCAGCAATCCCCCAGGCTGCCACGCCGCCCCTTACTGAGGCCGTTCCCAAGGACACACCGAGGTTCGCCGATATGGTCGGCGTCCACCAGTCCCTCGTCCAGGCCATCACCGAGGACCTCAAGTTCGACCACATGATGCCCGTCCAGGCCGCCACGCTCGATGAGCTCCTCCCCCCCAAGCGCAGCGATTGTCTGGTCCAGGCCAAGACGGGAACCGGCAAGACCATCGCCTTCCTGCTTCCTGCCATTCAGACTCTCCTCACGCAAAACCGCGGCCGCGGAGGTGGCATCTCCCTCTTGGTCATCTCACCGACTCGCGAGCTGGCTATGCAGATCGCCAAGGAGGCAGAGGGCCTCCTGCAGCGCCTTCCCCAGTACCGCGTCTGCATCGCCATTGGCGGTACGAACAAGGACCGCGAGGAGAAGCAGATCCTTCAGGGCTGCAACATCCTCATCGCTACACCTGGCCGCCTCATCGACCACATGGCCAACGAGTACATCCGGGACTCCTTCAGCAACCTTGACACCTTGGTTCTTGATGAGGCCGACCGTCTGCTGGACATGGGTTTCATGCCCGCCCTGAGGGACATTGTCCGCGCCCTGCCCGACAAGTCCAAGACGAACCGTCAGGGCATGCTCTTCTCCGCCACCATCGCCCCCCACGTTCAGCAAGTAGCAGGCCTCGTCCTCTCCCCGGGTTACAAGTTCATCTCCACCATTCCCGCCGGTGAGGCCAACACCCACGAGCGTGTTCCTCAGCACCTGATCAAGGTTTCCAACTTTGCCTCAGTTGCGCCCGCCATGGTCGGCGCCATCCGCGAGGAGGCTGCTTTTGTTGGCCCCGAAACCTTCAAGGCCATCGTCTTCGCCCCTACCGCCGCCCTCGCCGACTTTTACGGCGATATCCTCGCCAACATTCCCGGCATGCCGCCGGCCTCTGTCCTGCACTCCCGTATCTCGCAAGGCAGGCGCACCAAGACGACGAACGACTACCGCGATGCCAAGACTGGTGTCCTCGTCGCCACCGACGTTGTTGCCCGCGGCATGGACTTTCCCGGCGTCACCTCCGTCTTCCAGGTCGGCATTCCCGCAGACAAGGAGTCCTACATCCACCGCCTGGGCCGCACAGCCCGCGCTGGCGCCGAGGGCCGCGGCATCTTCATCGTGACGGAGCTCGAGGACTTCTTCCCCCGCTGGCAGCTCAAGGAAATCATCTTTGAGCAGCGCGCAGCCGAGCTTTCCTCTGCGCAGCAGGTGTACAGCATTGCAGAGCAGCGCATCGATGAGGCACAAAAGGCTAAGATCTACCAAGCCTGGCTCGGTTACTACAAGAACTGGATGAAGCAGCTCAAGTGGGAGAAGGAGGACCTCGTCGCGGAGGGCAACACCTTTGCCCGCGACGCGCTTGGCAGCCCTGAGACGCCGCCCATTGGCAAGAGCACCGTCGGCAAGATGGGCCTGCGAGGCACTCGAGGCCTGGTTGTCGTGCCTGATATGCCCAAGGGCCGTCACGGACGCGGGGGCGGTGGTGGTGGCGGCGGTGAGGGACGCAGTGCTGGTTCCGGTGGTCGCGGCAATCGTGGAAGACGCGGAGGAAGAAATTAAGGAAGCGGTCATTTGGAGGGTATATGCTTAGGGCGATGCGGCGGCATGTTGCTTTCGATTCCTATCTTTGAGCTATTGCTACATCTTGATACCCCTTCATACATCTTCGTACGACGGGATGGGACATGATCCACCTGGTATACAAAGGCTGGCGTTGGGCATAGACTTGGGCTTGTTTCGGTATGAACTTGGGCGGGTTAAGAATAAAAGTCTCACTTACAGGTCTTGCAACGTCTTTTCCGTGATGTCACGTCTGCTGAGGTCGGTCCAGCCGGTAAACCTGCGTCCCAACCTCGACCCCATGCGCCATCGTCTTTCCCTCCCGGACGACCTCAAACCCACACTTTCGGAGAACATTCTCACTGCCTACATTCCCATCATGAACATGCGCCTCCAGAAAATCTCCCCCTTCATCCTTGTCCAATCCGTGCGACCCAGAATCTGCCTCAATCTTCAACCCGCCAGGAAACCGTCCCCAATACTCCCCCAAAAACACCCTCAAAGCTTCCGTGGCGTATCCCGTTCCCCACGACGCACGCGCAAAGATGTAGAAGATCTGCGGGGGCGAGGTTATCCCCACGAAACCGACAACCTCCCCTTCCCCCTCCTCGTTCTTCTCCTGAGAGGGGGCAGGTAAAGGTAGAACCACCGCAAACGAAAACATGTCCGGCTTCATCATCATCCTAACCCGCTCCACACTACGGGACTTCTCCGCGACAAGCTCCGTTTCGACGCCGGGCCTTTGCTCCCGTTAGCTGAATCATTTCCGAAGGATATTCCTACTCCCCCGCTTCCCAGTGAGAGAGGGGGCAGAAAAGAAGGCGTACTTACATGTACCGCATCACCGCCGCGTCAACCCTCATCCCATGCACAGCCGCCAGGTCCCCCGTCCTCACTGCCCGAAGACATAGACGCGGAGTTATGAGGATGGTGTGATGCTGTGCCGGGACAGACGCTAAATCTGCCATCTTGTGCAGTCGTTGTTTCTGTTCCTCTAGACACTTTTTGGTGCTGCTCAAAGCCTGACAGAGACAGGCAATATCGCGAATTAGATAGGTAAATATCCTCGTTCACACTCATCTTGCCTATGAAGGCAGGCTTTCCTATTTGAGAAGGCAGTCAGCCACCGAGTCACCCGTCTTATCAATCGCGGAGTGCTGGGAGTCACCACGTAAGCTGCATCAGACTCCAACATATCGATCCTGCAACGAATGTGCCGCACACCCGGCGCACCGTCGGCCGAGACGGCGATCCACTTCGGAGATATGGGGTCGGTCGCCCGCCGCATGAGTCAAGGTCCCCAGATGACATTACCATTGACAACAAGATCTTTGACACGTCCACGTTTATTCATCACCCTTATGATACATGTATACACTTGACAAAACATGTCGCTTAGATCTACTTCAACCACGTCCGGTCTCACTGGACCGATGGTGAATAAGAGTACACGCAGATGCCCCCCGCCCAGAAATGCTTGTATAGCCGCCGGAAGAAGATTCCTCCCTAGATTGTTTTTATGACATCGCCATTGACATCGCCCGACCGACCGACCGACTGCTCCCCGATATTTTGCTAGACCAGATGTGTGTGAAGAGAGAGGTATTGTATAAAGAAACGAACCGGCCCGAACCGCCTGCTGAAATCCGCTGGCAAAACGTTTTTGATGACCTTTACCAAACACCGACCATGCCGCCGTTCCGGTATCCGCCGCCCTCATCCCCCCGTTTCCTGTTGTCGTATGGCGCGTTGTCGCCTTGTCCTGGTTGATGTGGTGGTTGTGCTTGCTGCTGTCGGTCGCCCATGTTCGGGCCGTCGACGCCACCGCCGGGGCCTTGCGGCGGGCCTCCTACGGGACCCCCGCCGGTTGCCATGCGCTCGTGCATCATCATCCCGTTGCCCAAGTCCGGGTATCCTTCGCGGTGGGTAGCATGGGTAGCGTACCCGGGTGGTGGACCCGGGTCGGGATATTCTCTTGGGCCGGTGCCGCCGCTGCCTGGGCTCCACGCAGCCTCAAATCCCATACCCATCCCCGCCATATCGGAGTTGCTTCGGGTGAGTCCGAGAGGACTCATAAGGTCCACGCTGTTGGCGTCTATCTCAACTCCACCCATGCCGCCCATCTCCCCGGCGCCGAGATCGATGCCCAGCCCCATACTCTGCATACCCGGTTGTTGGTGGTGCATCGGAGGGCCGGTCAGGTCGAGGACGGGCTGGCTACCGTTATTCTCCTCGTTCTCGTCGAACACCTCTCCGACGACGGTCCCCCTCTGCTGCCCCCACCCTGGGGCCTCCATCACGCCGTGTGCTTGGTTGTGCGCAGCCATCATCGCCGCAGCGACGGAACCCACTGCAGACATGGCCGGGCTGAGCTGGGTCCTCATGCTCCCTGGGTTCTCGCCGGCGGCCGTCAGCAGCTTGTCTGCAAACTGTTTTCTGGAATTGTCGCTCGCGCTGAGCGTCTTGATGAAGAACTCAATAGGGTCCAGGCTCGCTCCTTTCCTCCCACTGCCCAGCACACCCATCTCACCCGAAGTAAAGTCCATGGCCGTCTGGAATCCGACGCTCTCGCAGGCACCGAGCACATTTACGCACCATGTGCCAATCTCGAAAATCTTTTCCATGATGCCCATCCCGTGCACTTCGACAGCCTTGCTCGGCAAACTAGCCAGGATCGACGCCGTGTCGCGGGCGACCGTGAGGGGAAATGAAAAGCACATGCTGTTTCCGCCGCCCACGCCACTACCAGACGGCCCGCTCGAGTCCGCCGGGTTTGTCCAGCTTAACAGGCCCTGCCGCATCGACGACTGCCACACAATCAGCCGCAACCACTGCTGCGTAATCAGCAAGTCCGCCTTTTGGATGTCTGTCGGCTCCGGTCCGCCCGCATCTCGGCTGGCGGACGCCGCTCCAAACGACCCGACAAATTGCCCTTGGTGCTGATGTTGGTGCTGCGATGGCGGCGAACCCCGCGCATTCCGCGGTCGGAGGAACGCGGGAGGGAGGGATAGAAGGTTTTGCAGCGCCAAAAAGGTTGTCGCGCTGACGCGGGGATCGGACCCCTCGTTCCATGCGGTCACGAACGATTCGTCGAGAGGTGTGTACGATGAAACGAGCTGCAAGAAGCCGGCGTGAATGTCCGGCGCCTCGTATGGGTGTCGCGTCGTCGGCAGAGAGGGTGTCCTCTTGAATGTGATCGGTTTGTTGCGCAAGATCGCAAAAGACCTGCAGTCGAGGGGTCGGCGCGTTAGCAGTTGTCAGGAGCTTTTCGGCGATACGCCCTTGCGGGAACAGACGCGGGACTGGGATGAGCGACTGAAACTAACCTTTCTGTAACGAAGAGAATCCAAAAGACTCTCTGCCGACATAGTGTCTCTTCCCGGCTAAGCCCGTAGTATGTCGAGTCGTCCTGCAGTCCTAGATCCTGTGCGTTCGTCAACGCCTCCCGCAGGTAGTACCACGATTTCCGCGACTGGTTGATCTCAAAGAAGGATGTGCTTAGGTAAAACGACGAAATCACGGCGGAAAGCGACAAATCCTCAAGAAAGTCGTACGACTGTCTTGTCGAGATTGTTTCGTCCAGGAAGAAGCGGCCGACTACCTCCCATGATGTGGGCCCTGGGGCGCCTATGCTTTTGCCGGACATGTGCATCGAGGTGAGTGCGCACATGGCGTAGACAAGGTTCTTCTCGCTCGAGGTCATCATCGGGCGGCTGATGGTCTCGCGCATGGCGGGCATGTAGATGAGGGGCATGATGGGGTAGATGTGCTCGTAGTACAGCTCGATCAGCTGGGGGATCATGTGGAAGTAGTTCCGCGTCCTTGGCCGGAGTTCGTCGCTCGAGAAGATGCCCCTGGGTTCCGGGACCTGGCTGTGTGCGGGATTCGAGGTGACGGCAGCCCAAAAGCTCGGCGGGGTCGATGCTGCGGACGCGTTGGACGAGTGCTCGTGCGATGCGGCTTCGCCAATGTCACTCCCGCTCATTCCAATGTCGACGCTGTCCACGTTCAGCGGCGGGCAAGCTGCTGATAAGCGACGCCGCACATACTCTGTAGGGCTCTCGAGGGCATTCTCTCCGTTAAACGGTCTCTGGTTTGGTTGGTGGTGATGGCGTTGCTGCTGCTGCGGGTGCGTTTGGGACGACTCCTTGGCGCGCAGCTCATTAATCACCCTCCCATGCCCGCGTTTCGGGCCCCTCTTCTTTGGGACATGATCGCGCTTGCAAGTGAGAGAAGCGTGCACGCATTGCTCGCAGGGAAACTTGCCATCGCATCGTATTCCTGTAAACTGTCAGTACGATGCCTTGTCTTGCGCAGTTGGGGAGAGCGGCGGCGGGGGTGAGGGGTTGAGAGACATGAAATTCCAAGATGCTGACAGTGACTGAGGTATGTGATGAATGTTGGTAGTGGTAGGGTGATGATCATGATGACGTGCAGCAGCGCAGCGGCTCAAGGCGGGTTGGTACCATGAAAACGGCAAATTGACTGTCCCGGAGGCAGGCTGCTGGGAAGAGGTAGGATCGCACGAAAGTTCATGAATGCGACGGCCGAAGGGGGAGGGTAAAGAAAAAAGCAAGGCAAGTCAGATCGGAATGCCCGACAATAACGACGATGGTAGACGGGGCACGGAAGTTGACTGGGAGGTGGAACAGAACATGGGCGTACTTCTCCTTCGACAGTGGTCGCATACTGTCCTCTTTGGCGGCGCAGACGATGCTCCGGGTGCTGACTGTTGCTGATGATGCTGGTGTCGACTGCTGCTGCTGCTGCTGATTGCGCCTGGCGACTCGGCCTTGACCTCTGCAGAGCCCGCTCTGCTCGCAGCATTTCTCGCAGAATCTGTGTCGTCCATCACTCGAACATGACGCAATGAGAAGGAAAAGGGTCGAGGGGGAACGGTGCAGACAAGTAGGTCGTCACAGGGGGCTGCCGAACGTCAAAAGGATTTGAGCGAGAGATTTCGCGGTGGAGTCGAGGATTTGTGGTTGGTACGAACAGGTAGGTAGTGTGATGGTTGAAGCAGAGCGAGCGAGCAGCACGCACCGACCGCAAATCGACTCGGGAAGCAAAGGCAAGGAATAAGTCCCAGTCAGTCCAGGGCCCAGCCTCCCCCCGGTCGGTAGCCAGAGTCCACTCGCCGTGACGCCGTCTCCTCTCTCTCTCTCTCTCTCTCTCTCTCTCTCTCCTCAGCCCCTCACCAGCAAGGGGACGGAGCTAAGGCGTAGGTAGGGTTCGACGGGAACTTGGGTGTGGATGGTGCCGGTGTCAAAGGTAGGTTCGGAGGCACGGAGGGCTGGATGGCCGATGGATGCGATGTGATGCGTGGATGCTTGCTTGTTCGAGCTGCACTGGAGCTGCCTGTCCTGTCCTGTCCGTGAATGGTGGGTGCTAGGTGTATGTCGCGGTCGGCGGCGGCGGCGGCAGGGCAGCGGTGGTGCTGGTGGTCCGCCCCTCCCCCTTGGCTTGGTTCAGCTATCACACCCGTTGCGCGCGTGAGGTGCCGTGCGGTGCGGCGAATGGTGTGGTGCCTGTGAAATGCGGGGAAGAGCAAGACAGTCGAGGGGGCGGAAGACGTATGCGATATGCGTCGAGACGGTTTGGTAAGCCGGCGCAGCAGGTAGGAGAACCTAGGGAATGGCTGGCCGAGTCAGCTGATGTGCGGCTTGCTCGCGACCAATGGTGACTGAAAGCACCTGCGGTATGTTTTGGAGTGCGAATGCTCCGGAGGCTCGTGTGCGCCGTGTGTGTGGTGTCTCGTCTGCTCGTGTCTTGACTTGTCCTTGATCTGCGGGGAGAGAGATTGATGGACGGAGTGGTAGGGCGTGGTGACTGGTTGAGGCTGCCACGGCTGCGTAGCTGAGTGGCTGTGGAGGTGCGATACTCGGTGTTGGTGGTGCTGGTGTGTCGGAGAAGGTTGTGGTGTCGTCGTTGTCGTCGTCAAAGTCTGGCGTGGGAGTGCTTGGCTGGTGGAGTGCATGCGTCTTGGATGAGGTGAGTCTTGGATGGCGTGCCCTTCGAGAAATTCGAGAACCTACATGCCCTCGTGGCCGATGTGTATATGCGGGGGAAGCAGACGATGGGATGTTCAAGACCCAATCAAGACAGCGTCGACATGGGATGAGGAGCAGTCCGGGCGGCGGTGCGCCTTAAAGGAGGAGTCCATCAGAGAGATATGTGATGGTCGTGTCGTGTCGTGTCGTGTCCATGTCCACCGACTTGGGTAGGCAAGGTAGGAAAGGTGCCGCCCGCAGTCGGCCGTGAAACATCATGACCATGTCTCCATGTCTCCATGTCTCCTCCATGTCGTCAGGTCCGTTAAGGTAGGGAGCTGCGAGCAGCAGCAGCTACTCGACTCGGTGCACCCGTGTTGCAGCTGCTAGGTGATGCTGTTGCTCCTGCTCCAGGTTGCTTGGTGGTGCTATGCTATTTTGGAAGCTATCTGAAATGGAAAGTACCTTGTTCCAGCACCTGGCTCCTGCTCTACTGCGTACAGAGTGAGCAGTGCAAGTCACCCACTGAGCCACAGTCAGGGACCGCACGGCGCTATTCCGGCCCCTCTGGGGACGGCGCCATTCGCCTGGTCCAGGGCAAAAGGGAGGGGCGGCATGCTGCTCTGTGCTGCTGCTACCTACACTCTCTGCTTAGTACTCCCAGGGCTGCTAGCTGGTGCTGGTGCTGGTACTGGTGCTGCCGGTGCTGCCCTTGCTAATACTAGACTGAACCTAAGGTAGGTAACCCCCGGCCCCCCCTGTCCGCCCGTCGCCCGCTGATGCCAAGATCCATCAAAGTGGGAATTGGGATCTCTTTCCAGGTCCCAAAATGTGATTGATTCACACTCGTGAAAGACTGGAGAGCCCACCAGAGTACCGCCGAACGGATCCAACCGCCCACCCCGCCGTTTTGGGCCACACGTGCTTAGCTTCCTGCGGTATGCGTCTAAGGTACGACGTAGCTGCCGACCCTGACTCCTAGCAGCTTGAACGGTCTCACCAGGGTTTGGCTGCCCGAGAGCCTCCTTTTTCTTGTCATGTTGTTTTGGGTAGAGGCACAGGGCTTCCATCGAAGCTCGGGTCAGCTTCCATTGTCTGAGAGATAGGGATAGGGATCGAGAAAGGAAAGACAGACAGACACACAGGGCCCAAACTCTGCTGAGAACACCACGTTTCGAACCCTTCTTTCCTCTCTCCTTCGGTCCGGAAACATAGCCTGATGCGTACACTCGCCCGATGATGATGCCCGTCTCGTCCCGTCTGTGCCTGGCCTGATTGACTTGTTCACCTAATCTGCATGCCATCTACACACATCGGATCTCCAACCACATCGCAACATGCCCAACCCTGGAGAGAGTCCGTCCGTCCAGCAGGCCTGCCTTGCCTACGCCGTTGTTCTGTGCGCCGTGGTACGGGGCATCGTGTTTGTTCACACGTCAACGTCCGTCATCCCGATCGCGGCGGATCCCCCTCTCCATCCTCCGCCACCGCCGGCTTCCTCATTAGCTCTTCCCTACCGGCGCCGGTCGTACGTAGCCAAGGCGCGCGTCCACGCGATCCATCCCCAACAGCGTAGAACACGCGACCTCCTTTCCAGCAGGACCGAACACATGGACTGATTATTTGATCTGGACGTGCGTCTGTTCCCATTGTGCTCGGACGGCGTCTGTCAACGGCGCCTTGCATCAAGTACACACAGAATCACCACTAATCGCTATCGGGGGACGCGAACTTAGAGTTTTGACCGCCGGTTTTCAGGTCAACCACCGGCCCCAATTTTTTCCTATTTCTCTCGCGACTGAGTGATATTTCGACGACAGTCCATCCAAAACACCGTTGCGCTTGAAACAAGCAGCCCGGCCCGGCCAGCCTGGCTAGGCTGCAGTCGAATTGTGACAGGACCCTATATCGGGTTTGATGTAATGGACACACAGACTCCGACGAGGGTGGTCGGTCAACTTTCGGTCGGCATGCCGGGCAGCAGAATCGAGTCCCGGCCGAAATCTCAATGATCTGTACAGTACTTTCCATTCCTTGCAGTATGTACTTCTCTTTTTTTTGCTTGTGACAAATTGACTGCGGCTGACTAGCAGCAACATGAACAAATCACATCCACACCCCACCCCCGGCCTTTTCTTGACAGGTGCTCCAGCAGCGGGCAGCCGCAATGGTACCTGACAAGGGGACAAGGGGACGAGGGGGGCCATCAATTCTTCACATTGTTTTCGGAGACTGCCGTGGCCCCTGATCTCCCGAAGCCCTGGAGGCTGAAAGTGTGCAATGTTTGAGGTTGAATGGTCCCCCCCAATATGCGGGGTTCGAAAAAAAGAGGTGTGTCCGTGTCCGTGTGGCCCCGTGTGCTGGTCCGATGACAGGCCGGGCCCTGTGATGATTGAGATCGGCCGAGAGATTCAGCATGGGGGCCGGTCTTGGCGAGTCGTGAGCAATGGACTCAAGGGGAATATCAATACCACTATGAAGAGTACACTGCATATGCGTACCTATCAGAGAAAAGAACGCCTTCTTACTGGTGGCAATATAAAAAAAAGAGACATCTCCTCCCGAGCATCCGTGGAAACCGTGGATCATAGTCACAAAGCTAGCGCTCTTCTTTAATTTCCAGAAACCATCTTTTTGCCTGCCGGGAAAGGCAAGAGATTTTCGTACCTATTTTTCGTCTTTTGTGACAGCTTCGTCCGCGTTATATGTGCGCAATCTGGAAGGGAGGGTGTAGTAGGGTGGTAGGTTCCAGGCTGTTGGTGTCGCCAGCGCCAATGCTACGTTGCCAAGTCCCATCACAACTTCGACGCCAAAATATCAACAACGGCACTCTATATCCCTTCCATCCCTGTCCCGTTTTGGGGGTTTTGTTAGAGTTTTTTCTCTTCTCCCACAACTCCGGGGTATCTATTGGGCCAAGTCACATGCACGTACTATCATCTACGCTGCTTTCATTATCGCAGCCCGGTAGTTCTGATGATCTGTGGATGTCGCGACCTGGATTTTGAGTAGTCTAGACCACGGCCGGTAAACGCCCGCAGGGGATCCCGTTGAATAGACAGGGCAGGCAGGCAGAGAGGAGGGACTGGCGAAAAGGCAAAATGAGAGGCTATCCCGTCGGAAAGGTACGCCCCTGACCTTGACCAAAAACCCCCCCCTCCCGAGTCCCAGGGGACAGAAAAAAGGAAATTTTAAATTGGCACATTTGATCTGCCCTAGCATCCATCGACGGGTAGCTGTAGCTGTAGGTGAGGTACATCGTGGGTTTTCCTGCGTCTTTCGTCTTAGCGCGCCGCCGTTGCGCCTTCCCGGAGGAATGGGTCATATTGGCCAAACCGGGACCGGGAATGGGAATGGCCTCCTCCTCTGTCCCTCTCGTGGAGTGGGCTCGGCGGGCTGGTCCCTGCTGTGATTGACTCGGGCGGGCGCAAGCACGGTGCTCGGGGCATGCGGCGCATGAACGGGTGAATAAAATGGGTGAATTAGCGGATATGGACGGATAGGGTCGGTAGACGAGGCTGATACGAGCTGCTGTCGACGGCTATCGGATCTGGTTCCGTCGTCTGAAGAGGCTGCGGGATACACGGGAGCCGGGCGGCGGTGCCTTGGGGTCGGTGAAGGCATTCCCGCGCAGGAAATCTCGCCCGGAGCTAGCGACCGACCAACCATGCAGGAACGAGAGCGAGCTGGGCAGTATTTTCCCCCTTTCCTACCCTTTGCGTACTTGGAGTTTTCACTTTTCATCTGCAGGAATTACTGATGAAGCGATGGCACGTCTGAGCGCGGTGGACTATCCAACTGCCAAAACGAGGCACAATCTGCCTGCCCCGGACAAAGGAATGAAGGATGGAGGATCATGATGGAAAGTTACGATGCGGAGATGGCGCTGGCGCAGCCCAGCGCCTGCGGAGATAGGAGCCAACAACCTGCCAAGCCGCAGGAACACGAAGCACAAAGGGTAGCGAAAAGCACGAGCTGGGCAGCATGTTTCCGTTATGGCGTTGCGCGCGATGTGACGATGAGACGTTGACGGTCAGAACCAACTGCCGGTATCAGCTTTTTGGCACATCCGCCACCAACACGCCGGTATCATCGGGATGCCGCTATACAACATCATATCTCCGAATTGTCCGTCCCGACTGCCCAACGCAGAGCTGCTCGGGTTGAGCTTCCGAAGGGTAGATGTCAATGCCGAAGGATTCTGGCCAAGAGGGCCTGGAAGGTGTTCCCGAGCCCTATACCTCAGGGGTAAACAACTCCAGGAAAACACGGCTGCAACCGACGCACGCAGAGACGAGGGAGAAAATCTGGCGGGAGCCAACACGACTGGGAGACAACACGTTGGGGGCAGAAGCTAAGGGAGACAACAAGGTAAGAATCTGGGACGATGATGTTGCATAGTGTATCTCTGCAATTCGCCTCGGTGGTGTATCGATACAGAACATACATGCCAAACGCCAATGCTATATAGAATCTTTCTCAGAGTTCCTCCTTGAAAAACTGCTCCTCGCTGCCCTCCTGCTGCTCGTCCTTGCCAGCCTTCTTCCCCTTGCCCTCCCCGTCCTCGTCTTTGTGGTCAACAATGCCTCGGATCTCTCGTGGGTCGCCCGGTTGCTCAACCACCTCGAGCTTCCAGCCCTTATCCCCAGCGATCTTCTCGAGTTCGGCCCTCATCTCCTCCACCAGCTCCGGGCTCAGGTCCATCTTCTCGAGCTCCTCCTGGTTGAGCACCTTCACCTCCCCACCGTCCGCCTTGCTCTTGGCACTAGCGATAATCTCAACCAAAGGGCCCTGGTTGCGGCCAGGCAGGTAGCTGCGCGGGGGCGCCAGCTTGGCAGGGGGCTTGCCCTCCTCGTCCGCGTCAGCCAGCACATTGCGGGCGCCGACAATGACGCCGCCCACATTGACACCCTTCTGCGCTCTATCCCTGACGTTGGGGTCCTGCTGCTGCTGGCCGTCGCCGCCGCCGGGCTGCTGCTGCTGCTGC